TGTAAAATGTAAAGAATAATTTTTGAGATAAGAATTATTTATTAATTTATTTAATATACATGTTTCAATATTATTTTTATTATTATTTATTTGTTGAACAGATTGATAATATTTACACTCATTTGGTTTTACAATTGCAATCTTAGATGATGATATTTTTTTGTTAAAACATTTCTTTTCAGATAATTTTGTTATTGATTGTAATGACCGAGAACAAAGAGTTTCTTGATCTATTTGATAATGTTTTATTATTATCGATGTCAGTGCGAGATTCGGTTAAAAATTGATGCAAGCAGTTAGTAATTTGCGGTTTTCAGCAATGGAACGAAAGATATGGGGGCGTATTTTTTTTCTCCGATAATAACGAATGATCGGAAAGTTTTTAGACAAGATGTTTGTTCAATTTGGACCCTTTAGAGCATGTACTTTTAATGAGTTAGAACCAAAATTTTGTCACCGTTTTTGTTCGAAAGTAGTGAAATATTTTTTGAAAATCTCAACAAATTTAGTTTGGACGGAAAATTTTTCTTTATTCACTATCGCGATTCGAAACTGAAAAATTGGGTTCTTTATTTATATATTAGTTTACGAATCAAGAAAATACCTTATAAAATACATCAGTTGAAGATTTTTTTTGTTTTTCGACAAAACACCTCAAGTCTCGTTTTTCTTAAATATTCATTTTTGGAAAAATCCTTGTAGCCTCATATGACTAAAAGCTACAGCTTACTAGAGAATCTCTTCAGTTCTCTCCTTTGCGATTCCAATGATTTTTTTTGTCTATAAATACTACTTCCTATTCTAATGAAAAAACTAAAAAGATTTAAGTTTCTATTAAGATTTCACTAAGCTACGGAATTTTGATTTAGAACTTTGCGCACATATAGAGAACTCAACTGGACTAGCTTATATAAAAAAATTCACAAGTTTCGAACAAAATCTTTTCGAGATATGAAGCTTTCAAAAAATACATGTTGTATACACTACCCATGAAAAAGGATCTATATCTTGAAAATCTCATATCTCGAAGAGATTTTGTTCCAAATTTGTGAATTTTTTATGTAAGCTATTCTCTATATACACAAAGTTCCAGATCAAAATTTGAAAAGACGAATTTTCCGAAAGCCTGAAGTCTCTAGAAAAAAAATTCTATAGCTTAGTCGACTATCACTAGGAGCTCAAATCCTTTTGGAGTTTTTATTAGAGCACTATATAGTATCTATAGGCAAAAGCCATTGAAATCGAAAGCGGACAGCTGAACAGATTTTCTAATTAGTTCAACATCACATTTTCTAGATAAATGCTCGCTCTACACAGCGACCGACTCCGATAGTTTTTAATATGTTCGAAAAGGAACTTATAGTGTAGGCAAAAACCTGTTGGCTAACTATTGAAAATAATTTTTTAGATCTTTCAAAAAAAGTTTCTTACTACACTTGAACAAAAATAGAAAAAAAACTTTTCTAAGTTCATATTCGAATTCTGATCGAAAATTATAGTTTTTCACTCATCTGAAATGCTTTCGAGCAGGCTAAAATAAACAAACATGTTCAGCGGATACGCCGGACTACAAGTTCCATTCAAACTAATTTTCTTTTGCTTTTCAAAGAGTATTTCACTATTCTCGAACAAAAACTATGACAAAATTTCTAACCACACAAAACTCTAGTTCTAACTAATCAGTAATATTTTCTATAGAGTCAAAAGTGAACAAGAATCTTGTCTAAAACCGTTCCAATCAACCGTTATAGAGGACAAAATCATTTTGACACCAATTATTTCCATAAAACATTAGAAAAAAATAGTCTGTCATTCCGATGAAATTATTATTTTGATACACCACTTACATAGAAGGAATTGAGATCTATAATTTAACAAACAATTTGAATGATTATTGTGAAATCATAATTCTCCTTATAGTTTATTTCTGGATATATCATTATATATCCAAATTCTTCGCAACAATGTAACGACTACGTATAAAGCGATGACAAGAGAGGAAAAATAAAAGTCTCATAGATTTTGAAGAATCAATGAAGATCCATAAAACAAGTTTAAACAAAGAAGATTAGAAGAAAAGAGAAATGGTTATTACACATATACTCTAGACAAAATTCGAGTTCTAATAGATTAAAATTTTAATTAATATTAACTTTCACTAAACAATATATAAGACAAACTTTTTTAAAATCTATTCATCCATTTGCGTACAACTATCTTGTTTTAAATGACACTTTGTCGAATAAAAAACTTCAATTTTCTTGTAGTGTACTTGTCTTTATAGTCGCAAGTGTAACTAGTTATTGTACTCGATTCAGGCATTGTTTTGATTAGATTATAACGCGTATATCTATATTTATAGCACTCATCGACACAATCGCTACGATTACAGTTTTCTCTCTTGTTTTTTCATTCCATTCGACTTTTAGTGAATTCTAATTTTGTCTACAACATATATATATATGAGGTTAGCCAGTTTGGGCGGATACTCCAATTTTCTTTCATTCTATTATCAGTTAATAACCTAACCATATTCGGGTCAAATTATCGCTCTCATTACTAAACTAGTAAATTTAAAATATTAGTTGCTGATGGCTGTCTTATAACGAAATTATTCAACCCGTTAAAAACGATAGGAGACAGTTTCATGGACAGAGTAATTTCGTTAGAAGACAGCCATCAGCAACTAATATTTTAAATTTACTAGTTTAGCGATGAGAGCGATAATTTGACCCGACTATGGTTAGATTATTAACTGATAGTAGAACGACAGCAAATTGGGATACCCGGTCAGACTGACCAACCCCATATATATATTTATATATGACGGGAAAGGAAAATTCATGAATCATAACTAACAATAAGAGAAAAGGAGAAGAACTCCTATATGGATATATAATGAAGCTCTTATGATCTCATCTAAAGAAGATACAGGCCATATCAATTATCTTTTCATATCCTAATGTTGAGCAAATAAAATTGTATATATTTTCGATTAAATAATCGAGGAAATTTTATTGATTTTTAAGAAAATTTTCTTACTCGGCATGATTAAGCATTACGGAATTTCATGTCTTTTTTTTTACATTGTAACATCTATTTCTCGTCGATGGCAAGAACAAATTCTTTGAAACTATTATTATGAATAGAGACCATTTAAGATCTACTATTAGTAAAAATTTCATTGATTTTTCTTTAGCTGGAGCTGAACTATTTAGAAAATGTCGTTCGTTACAAAATTTCATCAAAAATAGAGGTAGTTTTTGAAAGCATTATTTTGGTTCATAGACATCTAACATTTCTACGAAGGTCATATATTGAAAGAGTACTTTGTATCTGATCGATTCTTGTTTGATGATGTATTTGGCAATCATCTTTTATACAAATTTTCGAATTGTTCACTCCAAGAAAGATTTAGCGTTTTCATATCATTCAATGCGGCTCAGAAACAGAAACGTTTGCGTTTCAAATACTATTGATCGTTCTTTTTTTAAATGATGGACTCAGTTTTCTTCACTTTTAAGTTCGAACCCTTGTCATGTATGGGTGGTCGATGGGTTGGTCATGTCGTACTTGTTATCAAAATATCATTCGGAATGACCGACTGTTTTCATAATGTTTTTTGAATTTTTTTTGTGGAAATCAATAGTTTTATAATGATTCTGTTCTATCTATTATCGAAGAAAAAGATGTTTTCATATCATCTCTATCAATTGTTGAAAACCGCAGATCACTAGTTGCTTGCATTTCCGACTTATTCAATATTTATAACCGAGTACCTTTACATCTTTCGGCAATATTAGTTGTTTTTATATTTTCATCAAGTGATTGCTGACGACAATGATCGAATAAATGTGATCGATATTTTTTTTGACAACATGAACAATATTTATTTTCAGTAGTGTTTAGTATTTTTAAAGGTATAAATAATTGATAATTGTAATTAATTGGAAGAATTGTTTTACCGTCGAGTAAAAAACAATGTTGAGCTTTTTGATTCATATCTAAATATTGACTAATTGGAAAACGAGAAAGAAATGTTTGTAAATAGTAAGCACTCATAATGAATTTATCATTAACAATAATTTTTTTTTGTTTAAGTAATGTTTAAAATGAAAAGAAAAAAAAGATATAAAACACATATTCAAATATGCGGGTAAGAAATATTCGTATTTGATTCAAAGTTAAATCATAGATTTTTCTTTCATATTCATATAGTTTATTGAACGAATTGTATGAGTGTAAACAGAATGACGTGTAATTCGAATAATAAAAATAATTAATAAACTACATATCAAAGTTGCAATTGGTAATGGTAAATGGCCGATCTGGTAGAGATTTTTTTCGTAAATCAGAGCATTTTTTACAGATGCTAATAATTATTTCTATGAGATAATATGTATTAGGATATTTCTATTAAGTATATATTCATCATAATACACTTAATATATTTTACCGACTCACATTGATTTCAAGTTATGTTATCAAAAAACAAAATGAAATCATTGTTCGTCATTGTAATTTATCATATAGTAAAATCTTTCTCTCACGAGGGAACTACTCCAAACGATTCCGAGCTTTTGGCTTCATCTTTTGGCTATAGATAGGCCTCAGTGAGACTAAGAAAACTCTAGAAGTGTTCGTCCCCATGCCTCGTCGTTCCCGAGATATGACCAAAAATATATCGTAAAAAAAAGGGACTTTTTCATTTTCGAAGCATTTTTTGTCTAAATAGTTCTGTATTAGTCTTTATACAGATAGCTGAAGTAATTGCTATTGTACAGTAATTTTTAACACATAATTCTGTTGGAATGCTGAAGATCGAATTATGGTTATTTAAGACTTGCTGGCATGTGATTTTTTAGAGAAAATAAGAGAAAAAGATGAAAGAGGAAAATGACGGTCGATATTTGTTGACCACGTATATCATATCGATATTAGGGAAAAACATTTCATGCATACAATATAATATAACGCCATTTTTCATTTTGTTTAAACAAATGATTGAAGCAGCTGATATCGTAGCTATGCTATCTGAACGAGTCTCAAAAAGAGATACTTATCAACCAAAAGGAAATAAACAAATTCAAGAGCTCATCGAGTATCTTTTTGAAACTATTCAAATTTTCTTGTCTACCTCATCGTTCGAAATTTACGATGAATCTACACTTGATCAAATCGATTCATCGGATAAGTTCTCAGGAAATGAGTCTCAAGTAAGTGAAGACAATCAAGAGTTAGAATCCGAAGAAGAAATAGAAGATAATGAGGAACAAATGGACTCAACAGAAGAAGAAGAAGAAAATGATGATAAGCAACCAACACGCAAATTTTCTCTTGATTACATGAAACAAGTGTTAGATTATTACGATGAAGTCGACTAGAACGGAAAACATAAACATAGCTGGAAAAGTGTTAACCATCGATTTACTCGAATTCCTCACAGACAATATATCGTTCGCTTTCGCGATTATGTTAGTCGTCATGGATCAAAACACCAAAAAGTACACGAAATCGATTCCTATGTTTTTACAATGTTCAAAGAAGCTCGTGATCAATCGTTATGTATTCATGATGCAGATTTACAACGATGGGCTATTGTGAAGGCTCGAGAACAATCAATGTATAAATTTGTTGCTTCCAATTGGTAGATTCATAATTTCAAGCACAAACATGGTATTGTTTCTCGCAAGATTTCTAAAGTTGTTAGCAGCCAATCAATAAGAAACGCGGATGAAATTGATAGTACAGCTGAAGACTTTGTCAACGCTGTTCGAGCAGAGATGAAGAACTATTCATCAAGTGAAATATTTAATACAGAACAAGTTAATTTGGTGAAAGAATTTCGAAGCAATCGCACGCTAACTTTTAATGGCGAAAAGATAACAGTTGGTTCGGTAAAATCCAAGAATGCAAGTACTCATTCTTATACTATTCAGTCTCTTATTAATATGGAAGAAAAAATAGTCGGACCTCTGTTTTTATGTCTCCAAGAAACTAGTGGTCGAATTAGTGAAGGTGAATTTTATTACTTTATAACATATAGAAAAACTATAAGAATTACAAATATTAAAGAGTATAAGTGTCAAAGGTAATAAGAAAAGTGAAAAAGAAAACTAAAAGCAAGAGGTTCGTGAATTATAGGTGATACTAGATAAAGAATATTAAATATAGAAACAATTATAGAAAAGTTACATTCATGTAACTTTTCATTTGTTTTTAATGGATGAGTTTTCGGTGAAGATTTTAATATAAACAAGATTTGTTCGACTGAATTCTGATGATTTGATATATAATGATAATAGTCATGTGTCATATCTGATGATATGAATTATTGTCTATACAAATAATATTGTTCTAGTATAGGTATATAAGAACAAACTTGACTGAAACTTTTCGAGTAATCTCAGTATCCATTATTTCTTATGTGATAAAAGTTCTGAAATACAATATAATTACCTTAATCATCATTGCAGAAGAAGATCTATACATCATATAGTAGAACTATTTAAAACTGAATTGAATTTAAGTAGCTTTTTGAACAGTTATTTACCTGAAGTTTTTCTTGTTGAATCAATAGGAATATATTTAGAAATATTGTTTTTTATTTTCTAGAATGATCTACCTAATATGAAATCTTTCTCTTTAACATCGTTTTACTACTTAACTGATCGTTATGATACTGAGATTCTACCTCTTTTTCGTCATATACCAAATCTTGAAGAATTAACTTTGTATATTATGGTCTATGATCGAACTACATTTATCGATGGTACTCACATTTATAATGAAATTCTTGTTCATTTACCACGACTTCATATATTTAACTTTTATATTTCTACCTGACCTAAAATGGATCATTTAGTTCATCATCTATCGAAAGATGATATTCAACGAACACTTATTAATAACATAAAATATCAACCAGTGGATTGTATTGTAAACTCTGAATATAAATTTCCTCAATGTCATGTCTTTTCATTACCGTTTATGTTTGAACGTCTCAACGATATTGGTAATACATTTCCAAATATTATTTTCAATCATGTTAGAAAATTATCGGTGAAAGATAATTTTCCATTCAAACGTGAATTTTTCAAGCGAATTGCTTTCTCTTTTCCTTTGCTTAAAGACTTATGTGTTGTTAATTCTAATCCACAATCATCAATATCCGACGAACGAAACTCTAATGATAATCAATTATATTCAATTGTTAAATTGAATTATCTTAATTCTCTTTTTCTTGTGAATGTTCATATTGACTATGTCGATCAATTTCTCAATGAGAGAAAAACACATCTACCTCGTCTAACTGTATTAGCAATTGATGATAATCATTTAACAATCGTCACAGATAACTTTACAAAAGATACAACACGGCTTAATTGTATTAATGTGAAAAAATTAGAATTGTTTAACGAAAGAGTAACAACACATTCAAAAGACTTTTATGTTTATTTTCCTTTGTTAAAATCTTGATTGTGTTCGAACTAAATTAATAAAATGCAATATGAAAATATTAAGAGTATTTTTCCAGTCAAATCATAGTGATCAAAAAGTATTAATTAGAAATGCTTATTAATTCTGTAGTTTTTTTCCTCAGACATGAAAAGCCTATTATATTTGAAAAATAAATGCAAAAATATGTTAAATAAAAATAATTTATTTAATAAATGAATGAATGATATTTAGTTCACATGATCCACGAACTTCATTTTCATGAGTATTAAAATACTGAGCAATTTGTTGATCAGAAAAGGTCAAATATTTTGCTTCAAGTAAAAGTGCCATTTTTTTTGCAACAATAGATGAACCAGAATTTTTATCAATAAATTCAATAATTGCTTTAAATTTATGAAGAAAGCATCATATCAAAGTTGCAATTGGTAATGGTAAGTGGCCGATCTGGTAGAGCTTTTTTCGTAAATCAGAGTATTTTTTACAGATGTTAATGATTATTTCTATGAGATAATATGTATTAGAATATTTCTATTAAGTAAATATTCATCATAATACAATTAATATATTTTACCGACTCACATTGATTTCAAGTTATGTTATCCAAAATAAGATGGAATCATTGTTCGTCATTATAATTTATCATACAATAAAACTTCTTTCTCAGTGAAAACCCTGTTATATTGAACACTTTTAAGTTCCTTCAAACAAATTTTGTCGGCTTTTACATTCCTCCTTTATGAATACCTCTTGATTCTGAATGTCAACACATTTTTTTTGGTCCTTTTCACATGTATCGATTTTATCAATGTGAATATTAACAGAAGGCGTTACTTGAATAAATCATATGGTTGACGTTGTGATAGTGATTATCAAAGACATAAATTGACTCTATAATTTACTTCAATAAAAGCGAAAAAAAGAAAAGGAAAGGTCAGACAGATATCGTTATCTTATCAAGCACCTTCTTGACCATTGTTTATTACATATAGTATCTCTCAATGTTCTTACTTTAGAGAAAAAAAAATGGATATAATTACAGACAAAGAAATTTAGTTTATTTTATCATGAACAAAGGGATGAATTCTAAATATACATTGGTGTTGTGTCAAATATTCTTAAAAGAGAAAAAAATTGAATGAATATATTATTGATTATGAAATTAATCTAAACAAAAAACATGAAGCGCAAGGTAAATTATGGTTTTAGTCAAATCATCAATGATAGTATTTAAATCTAATTATATAAGATCTCGATATGATGTTTGAAATACTAAAAGTCAAAAACTATTTAATAAAATATTAAAAAGCATTTAAAAGAAGACCGAAAATGATAAAACTGATATGTTGATTGATCATTCCTTTTATGAATACCCTGTTATACTGAACGACTTTTGTCAATTCCGATGTAGAGGTTCTACTGTATATTTATTTTCATTTTGTATTATTTATACTATATCTTTCGCAGACACATAACAGATAACAAAGTAGATCTATCGTGAGAAGCAGAGTAAATTTACAAGTGATTCATAATTTCTATATCTGAAGAACATATAATTAATGTACAAAGCTAATATAGAATTTGTAGTCCTATGAAATTTTCTGTAAAATGTCGTTTCAGCGAGTGTGGACAATGCTTGATAATAACAGAGTGTGGGGTATGATTATGGGTGTCCATGTAGATACGATTTTGGGTGTGAGTGTGGTTGTGGGTAGAATAGAGGCTTCGTTCTTACCCACACCAACACCTTCATCATTATGTTGTGTGATTTAATTAATTTGAAAGTCTTTTCTTGAATATTTATAAAATACGATATAAGAACAACTAATCGTATTCTAATAAAATTTTCTTTTATTCTTATTCGATTTATTTCTATACGAAATAAATTCTCAAGACAAACAATTTAATTATCTACCAAAGCAAACGAGGGACCATTTTCCAAGGATATTTTTTCAAGGATGAAAAGACGAGAACATTTCTTTTTTTACGAGGATGAAAAGTCGATGACATTTTATAAAAAACATTTTAGACTATATTCTGTCGAAGAATCCACTAAGTTGTTATAGGCCGTGGCAGACATGTCAAGGCCTCTGTCATAGTCTATCAAAAGGTGAAAGGAACATGGGCATGTTGTCGACGTCCTTGCGACAAGCTGGGTACTATGAGTATAATTTTCTTGCCATGTACTTTACCATTCATTAACAATCGTGCTTACTATAATAGTGAAATGGGAGATCTACGTAATTTCTGTAGTAATTCAGAGGCAGCTGTGACTAATCGAGAGATATATTTGACTATTAGGGATTGAGAAAAGTTTAAAAAATGACTCATTCCAGTTCAGTACGATCTGACCAGTTTAGACGGGTACAGATAAAGAAAAAGCTCTATCGGTTGCAACTCTGCTACATATTCAATCAAGTATAATGAAATTTAATAGGTTAAGATCGAATTTAGTTTAATATTAGGCTGAAACAATATTAATAAGAATGACTGTCTTGACAATGGTGTTCATCGATGTTATCAATAATTTGTTCGTGTAAATTTTTCATAGTAAAAAGAAAAACAAACAATGTTTTCTAGGATCGAACCAATAGATTTTGTTTTTTAAAAACGATCTCATTTTCAAGAAAAGCTATTCCTATGTTAATCAGTTAGATTGACTTCATCTTGATAAATATGTAACACAGATTCAAAAGAGTTCACCATGTATTGATTATGTTATTCATTGACAAAAAAATGAACCAATTACATAATCAGAACAATTTAATAGTTATTGTCATTTTAATATAATTGCATATCTTCTCGAGCATACAAATTAACAATCATGTCAATTTTCTATCAAATAAGCAGAGACTATTTAAGTGAGAAAAAAATGTGCAACCTTTTCTTTCCAATCATCAACATATTGCAAAACGGAAACTTAGCTTTTGACATTTTACACGACCTTTCTGAGAACATTTTTTACAACTCTTTATCACATTCTCTTTCTAACCTTCGGAGCCTGACATAACCACTGTCAATAAGACGATGATTATATACACACCGCACTCCGTGTTGTCTAATTAATATGTCACAAGAAAAGAATATTTTCGCCAAAAAAAATGGCGTTTCTATAATACAATAGTTCTTGTTATTTATATATCTTTTTCCAGCATGTTATAATCGATTCTTTTTTAATGATATTTTATTTAACAATGATGTTCTATCATATACAGCCTCTTCGTTTGCTATCAGTTCACGCAAAAAAAACCGAATGAAAAACACGTACGCTTACTTTATCAATCATTTATCTCAGAAAAAAAACCTATGTTTAAGTGAGTACTTCGAATAATATGAAGTACTTGAATATTGATAGTATTTCACCCGATGTCGCCTGGTAATGAGAAGTTATTGAGTAATTATGTTAAAAATGCCTATGACGAACATAAATTTTAAGTACATTAACACGTGCTATTCTCTAAAAAAGACAATGTTTCATGTCATTCTTTGATAAATTCAAACAAAAAATATGTACCGAATACATAAAATGTCATTTAAATTTTTCTTGTCATTCAATCACATTTATTAATTAAAAACAAATTAAATGACATTAAGTAAAAATTTTCTATACACTTTTACAATAAAAACATAAACGTTTAAATACAACACTAATAAACAATAAGTTTTATGACTAATTTTTACACAAATTTACAACAATTATTTTTCATTTCCTTTTCGTAATCTTACTAAATAATCCAAATTTCGATCGCATGGTAATTCGAATATCCATGGTAATATCTTGATTTTTAGGTTGAAGTTCAAAATTACATCGTTGAACAAACATAGCTAATATAACTTTTGCTTCAAGTAATGCAAAATTTTGACCAATACAATTACGTGATCCTGCAGCAAAAGGTAAATAACAATAAGGATGAGCCAATTTAGATCTAAGACCTGTTATTGGATCACGCATCCATCGAGTATAATCAAATTCAAGTGGTCGAGACCAATATTTAGGTTGACGATGAATTAAATATGTATTAATTAGAATAGTTGCATCAACAGGTATAGAAAATTGTTGATTTGGACTACTAATAACATGTTCACGTATACATTGACGAACAAAAAATGGTATTGGTGGATATAAACGTAATGTTTCATATATAACAGATTCACAAATATTTAAATCATTTAATATTTCATATGTTGGAATCATACCATTTGGTAAAACTCGATCAACTTCATCACGACAAGCACTTAATACAGATGGATTTGTCATTAATACATACATAATCCATGCCATAAGATCACCTGTTGATTGATGACCAGCAAGAACAAAGACCATTGCTTCTTGTCGAATTTCTTCATCTGTAAAATGTTTTCCATGACTATCAACAGCTTGTAAAAGTAAATCAAGAATATCCGCACGTTGACATATATTTTTTGTACGACCTTGTTTTCTATCAGCAATAATAGATTCAACAAAATTTAAAGCTTTTTCACAGCCTCTATCAACAATATCTTTACCCCAAAATGGTAATCTTGAAAATAATGGAATTTGATCAATTAATAATAATGTTCGATTAACAATAGCATCTAATGCTGCAATAAATGCTTCACAAACAATTTCTCTTGCATTAGCTATTGTTTCAAAATTTTCACCAAATGCACTTGATGCAATTATTGTTAATGTAAGAAGACTAAGTTCTTTTTGTAAATTAATTGATTCTTCACGTGATTCAAGTAGTTCATTAATTGTTTTAATTGTATGATCTGTCATAATTGATACCATTGAACGAAGATTTTCAAAATGAAAACCAGGATTTAACATTTTTCTTGCTCGTTCATGTTCATTACCATTACTAATTAAAAGATTATGTAAACCAATAAGTGGTTTAAGACGAAAAATAAGATCAATTGGTTTATAATAATTTTGTGCATGTGCACGTCCAAGTATATCACTAATTAAATCAGCATCTTGTATAACAAGACGTGGATATATACCAAGACCAAACATAAATATTGAACCATGTTTTGTACAT